ATATATATATATATATATGTGTGTGTGTGTGTGTGTGTGTGTTTGTGTGTGTGGTAACACTTTAGAACAGGGAACACTTATTAACTATTAACTATGACTTTACCCTCAATAAACTCCTAATTTGCTGCTTATTAATAGTTAGTAAGGTAGTTAAGTTTAGGTATTTGGTAGGATTAGGGATGTAGAATAAGGTAATGTAGAATAAGGCATTAATATGTGCTTAATTACTACTAATAAATGGCTAATATTCTATTAATATGCATGTTAATTAGCAACTAAGAGACCCTAAAATAAAGTGTTACCGTATATGTATATAAACATATATTTTACCAGATATGGCCTTGTGATATTTGGTGCCATTGATGGGTACTCCAGGAAGGTATGTGTGTGTGTGTGTGTATATATATATATATATATATATATATATATATACAGTAATATATAATTAAATTGATGTAATACATAAATCAGGGGTGCAGAACTCAGTTGCTGGAGGGCCACAGCCCTGCAGAGTTCAGCTTCAAGTCTAATCAAGTCATTTGAAAGGCTTGAAGGCTTATTTGAAAACTGTGGTGGAGCAGGGTTGGAAATAAACTCTGCAGGGCTGTGACCCACCAGCAACTAATTTCTGCACCCCTGACATAAATATAACATTTGATCATTTACCTCAGATCATGTACCTTGGAGCTGATACAGATAACAAAGCATCAACTGCCCTTGAATTTTTCTATCAGTCAGTGGAGAGACATGGATTTCTGTTAAGGTAAAACAGTTTGTACTTTCTAGCATTTTTTGTTTGAATAGATCAGTGCTTCTCAAACCTGTCCTACGGACCTCCCTCCCCCCACTGCACAATTTGGATGTTTCCCTCATCAGACACATTCAATTCAGGTCTTGCAGTCTCTATGAATGAGTTGAATCAGGTGTGTCTGATGGGAGGGGAGGTTTGTGAAACACTTAATTACAAAAATAGAATTTAGTTTGTTCATCTTGTGTAAAAATAGTAAAAAAGAACAAAAAAAATTCAGACAGACATATAGAACATTATGAGGGTGAATTTTCACTATACTTCCATATTTTTCTGAAAACAGTTCACAAACATATAAACATGGCACACATTAACTTAAACTTTGGCAAACGACGTTAATAGTACACGCCCCAGTTTCTTGACTCCACCCCCACGTCAAAACAGTGCCATAAAGTGAAACGCACAGAAAAGTGAAGCGCAAAGGGAAAACAGTATCGCGAGCTCACGCTTGACTAAATGGAGCATTGCAAATTAATTAGTAGGTCTGAGCATGGAAAATATGTGTTGCAGAGATAAAACAGAATCACAGTTCATAAGCTTCTTTTACAACTGTCATTGATTTTTGCAATTAATTATATCTTAATTTTTGCAATTCTTTATTTCTGTTTGCAAAACTTAAATTTTTTCTCTCAATACTTTATTTTTATTTTGCAAAATTTATTTTTTTTGCTGAAGACTTTATTTTTCTTTTGCAAAACTTTATTTTCTTTTGCAAAACTTTATTATTTTGCATATATATGTGGCATTATATTGACTTATATTGATTTATTTGCATATTTATTTATTTATTTGTGTATTTATTTATTTATTGTTTTTGCAGGTTTGGCCCTCCATACGACTATATTATGCAGTGATGCAAACTATTCGACTTTCTTTTTTCTCTCTCGCTTTTTTTTGTGTCAAATTCCGCCGTTTTGAATTGAAAGTTGGGTTGCAAGTCATTTACGTGATTCATGTAATTCATAATTATTGTGACGACAGTAGCATTTTTCTGTCTTGCATTAAATTACATTCAATATATTAGGAACACAACTAAAATTGAATGGGTGCATATTTTAAAATAAAAATATTATTTACAGTTCAGATTGATTACTTTACAAAAAATATCTAATTTTATATTAATTTATTTAGTTCCTTTACCATTACCATAGTGGTCTGGTCTTAATATTTTCCTCAAAACAATAGCCCCCTAATGTTCTAGATATGATTATGGCCTTATTTGGTATAAATAAAAAAGTTAGTTGAAAAAATCACCAGTGTAGAAACAATGATACAAAGAAAGAGAACAGAGTTTTTTTAAAATTAGTATTATTCAATAAAGAAAAAAAGTTTAATTCGTTGTGAAAGTGCATGATAGTCTAGGCTGCCCATGAAAGCTTTTTTTTCCAGTTTACATGTAACAGCCTATAGTTAATATAGCAATATCTACAGTATAAATATCTAGATTTTTTCCCCTTGCAATACAATCTATCTATCTATAGAAAGCTTTAAATTTCTATAAAACGAAATAATTCAAATCAAAAATAAAAACTCTAGAAAGAAAATGCATTTCTCTCTAAAGGCGCGTTCAATGAGGAGATGGCGAGTCAGGATCGTCATCTTCATCTTTGCGACACGGACTAAGAAAACACTAATTTATTAATAAATAATTCAAATATCTCCTTACTATTTCCCCCCGTCACATTCATGGTAATTACTTTTGCTGGGGCATGCGGCACGCTTTAGCCTATTGCGTGCGTTTTTTGCTGTCATGTGCAAGGATATGTTTGCAGGTTCTGCACTGCACATGACCAGTTGACTCACTGTTTGCCTTGGTAATCAAATTAAAACTCTACCAAAATGCAGCTTTTCCCGAAGCATTGGGATCTTTTAGTAACTCCCCACGCTCCAACTTCTCCCTCATGCTTTGTATGGTCAACTTGTATGCTAATATAATCAATTTAGCCTAACAATATTTCATACAGTAGCCTATGTGTGCTCTGCGCGTATATAGGCACAATAAAAGGAGAGAAGCTAAATGAGCCCGAGTCCGACCTGTAAAAAAAAAAAAAAATTGGCCCGAATGGACGCAGCGTGTCGGGACCCGACGGGCTTGCAGGCCTCTATATCCTATACTAATACTAAGAGTATATAGTTCGAATAGCCTACGTGGCTATGTTACGGCTCCCCTTTGAAGCTCTTGTGTTTTCCTCCTTTTCCATCTCTCCAGTCCTATTCTGCACACAGGTGATTGGATGAGTTTTGTTCCCACTTTTGTTGTAGTTAGCTGATATTTGTAAAATAGCTTGTTTTGTTTTTTTTTCTCAGATAAAAGAGTGGTTTCAGTTTAATATGTTGCAGGTTCATTTATTGGTAATAAATAATATTAATGATAATAAAGAAAAAAATATTGGGCTTTTTTTTTTTTAAAGCTGCGGACCCGAGCCCGGCCCGAATGGACGCAGCGTGTCGGGACCCGACGGGCTTGCAGGCCTCTATAGCCTATACTAATACTAAGAGTATATGGTTCGAATAGCCTACGTGGCTATGTTACGGCTCCCCTTTGAAGCTCTTGTGTTTTCCTCCTTTTCCATCTCTCCAGTCCTATTCTGCACACAGGTGATTGGATGAGTTTTGTTCCCACTTTTGTTGTAGTTTGCTGATTTTTGTAAAATAGCTTGTTTTGTTTTTTTTCTCAGATAAAAGAGTGGTTTCAGTTTAATATGTTGCAGGTTCATTTATTGGTAATAAATAATATTAATGATAATAAAGAAAAAAATATTGGGCTTTTTTTTTTTTAAAGCTGCGGTTGCTTATTTGTCTCGTGAGAGTTGGCCACAGTGCTCCATAGTGTGTTCACGTTTTTCCAAACACCAATAATTTTCTTAATCACAATTTTTTTGGTTTCACTCTTTAAAAGTGAAGGCTTAACTCAGGAGATGGCACAACTGTTTGTAAGGTAAAGAGAATTCTGTCTTGACCTGGTTTGCTCATGCAGATTAGTGAAAATATCCAGCTTCTCTTACAAACAACATTTAGTCAAACGCTTCGCATATAAATGAAAGCAAAATCATTTATTACTGGGAACAGATCAGAGTAGCAAAGGCTCATTCAGTTTTTGCAGAAACAAAACAGAGCAAATCAACATTCCAAGCACACAGTGAAAAATAATTTTTAATATGTAACAATAGATGTATGTCCTTACATTTCAGACCTGTGGCCATTTAAGGTGAACTGTAATACTCAGGTGGTTGACATTAAGATATCCTCGAAGGGAAAAAAATAATAAAATGCTATTGAAAGGCCTATTAAATGTTATTAAAAGTTTTTTGATCATTGTATGCCTAAAATAATAGCCTATAGCGCAAAAAAAAAACTATATAGTGTACAACTCACTGGGCTGCTTTCTTCTATAGCTCAAACTTTTCTTCTAGCTTTCTTCAAAGCTCTACTTGATTTAAGGCACAATAAATGTGCCTTATCATAAGAATATAACTATTTGTGGCTGTAGTTCTATTTGTAATTTTAACTCATACTTTTTACATGTCCATGCATCTATCCATGCACTTCAAAAAGCCAGTCTTAATCCTGGTATTTGTTGTGGTGCTGTAGTTTTTGGATGAACTGAGGGTGAGGCTCCAGTAAATATTCAATATAAGGGCACTAATATGGAAGACCCAAATACACGAAAAAACACACCGAGTGGTAAAATCCACAAGCCTAATGAAGTCTAAAAAACACAAAGACATGCCAGCTGTTTGGCTCTCTAGAGACTGCATGTAAACAAGAGAGATTGCATTTCCACCCGTTTGGAGTTAAATGAGTTCAGTGAGTAACAACATAGCAAAGACTTCACCACAGTGTTGCTGTCAAGGCTCCTTGAAGACTAACATGCCTCAACTAATAAAAACTAAAATCACATCGACTTAAAACTATGATCCTGAGGAATGTTTTTTGGGGTTGAGAGCAGCCTTTTTAGCTTCCTCAGGCAAAAGTGAGGGATCGGTCAAGATGGAGGTGCTGGTACAGAGCTGTCGTAATGTCCTGAGTACCACTGGAGGATACAGAAACACACACACACACAGAGAGAGAGAGAGAAAGAGAGAGTCAACATAATACACGGGTACACAATATACAACATCACAATGAACAAACAGTAACCCCAATAGAACATTTCAAACAGACTTGTTAGAATAACAAAAGTTTGTGCATTCGAGACCACCAATACACAAAAATGACATATTTCAATATGTATTTCATATTATCATATTAACATGCTCTTAAGACTTTTACACTTTAAAACTATAATATAAAATATCAATCCATGTTCCAGTTAAAAATGTTTGAAAACATATGGTTTCCCATAGCAATTGCATATACATTGTAGTTTGATGTTTAGCCAAACTGACCTTTGCTGTGAAATATGGACAAAATAATCAAACTGTGATTCTTTAAATGGATACTGTGATTCTGATTTTGTTTTCTCTTATTTAAACATGCTACATTCAAAATTGTATTTCAGTGTACAAGAACACATTTCAGAATGAAATAAAGTAGTACTGTGCTTGATAAATAAAACTGTAATTTCATATCTGTAGAACAGATATGACAAATGACAAATAAATTAACTAAATTCAAATAATAAAAATATGTCTCAAGCGTTGGCACAAGTTTGTAGTATTGTATTTTGGAACTTTGACCATGTTCTAACACAGACATGTGATATATATATATATATATAAACTAAATAACTAAAATAACTTTGGTATGCCTCTCTTCAATTCACCATGAAGCAATTCAAATATTGCTCTCCTAGTAAACACTTTTGATTCACAAATTTTTATCAACATCACAACTACCCTCCCAAGATATTAGGCTGCTGTCACTTTAAGACCTAATGCACATGTATACATATCTGAATTAAAATAAATAAAATCATAGCCTCATTTGGTTTAAAAATTGCATATGCTGATTTTCCCCCCCGATTACCATCAATTGCACAGCCCTACTGTCTATAAAAAAATTAAAAAAAAAGTGTTCTCTTAGTTGCAGTCATCCAGTTGCTGACATTTAATTAAAATGAACTGGAGAACTTACTAGGTCTAAGGACTGGGAGGGCACAGTATCGATCCAGCCACTGCATGGTGGTTTCACACAGCTCTGTGTTGTTGGTGGTAGACACTGTCCCATTAAAGGACTCAAACAGAGGCTGAATAATGACGCTAAACTGAGAGAGAAGTATTAAAGAAAATAGGCTTGTGGAGGAGTCCAATAGCACACAGGAGGCTGAAGAGCAGCAAAAAAATAAATAAAAAAAATCACATTGAAAGAGTTAGAGTGTAAACACTAATTTGGGCAACTGAAAACTGCCCCTATTTGTTAAGGAAAAAAAACATGGGCAGCATTTTGGGGGCCACAGCAAACTCGCTGATGTGTTGACTGGACCCCTCACAAAAAAAACATTTTTTTCAGCTGTAAAATTGTGTATTTTATTATTATTATTACATAATACACTTTTTTATTTTAATAAATTATGAAGAATAAACCAATAAAAAAATAATTATAGTAATAATGCTATTGTATTGTTACAAAACAACAATAATTTTATTTAAAATTAATATGCTAAATATTCATGGCTGGGTTAGGTTTTAAATTTTTTTTTTATTAACGACCCAAACTTATTTTGAGCAACAAACCGTATCAGTGTACTTTGAGGTCAAAATAAATTAAGGTTGTCAATGCTTAATTTAATTAAAAAATGTACAAGTATCCTCATGGGGTGCTTAAAGGTCCCTGAAATGCTTAGAAACACGCAGCGTTACTCTGTGTGTTGACGTCATTTTAACTGAAACAGGAAGACAGGGCGGGACATATCAAGCAGCCCCCGCTTTTTAAAATAGCCAATAACGTTCGTTTATATCACAGCTTGGGCTAGAGCCTAGGGATGGGCGATACCACATTTTTTAAATGTGATACGATACCGATACTTTTTGTTAACAATTTTAACGATACCGATAGTAATTTTAAATGTGTACGTGATTTTTCAAAATAATGTTAATTTAAATATATAAATATATATATTGTTACACTTAAAGGCAAATTACATACACATACTGGCCATTAATAACTCATTTATTAGAAAAGCACATTTAACAACAAATAAAAATGTTTAAACAACCTTCTTACAAAAATATTGATTAAATAACATAACAAATCTTAATAAAATAAACTGCATATTTTTTCACTTATTTCTTATTTTTAAACAGGCAGTTTTTTCTTATTCTTCAACATTCCCTCATGGAGACCTAAAATGTCCTCAGGAAGACAAAATTTATTGGTATTACTATACTTGTGGTAACGTTTTGTCCCAATAACGTAAAGAATACCAGGACACCCCACACAAACACATGCACTTTATATTTATTCTTATTCGCCTAATGGTTACGAAAGAGACAGGGAGTATGGTAAATAAGTTAACTAATGACTGTGCTCTTTGTACCTGGATAGGGTTTGCCTCCCTGAAACCTCTCCTGTAATGTCTTTTGTCGGACAGAGGGAGACTGGGCAGAGGAAGACTGGGCAGCTTGTTTTTGTTCAGCCTCTTTATACGTTTCAGTGTGTGTTGTTTGTAAATGTTTAAAAAGGTTGCTTGTATTGTTGCTGTGTGTGACTCTCTTATCACAAATATTGCATCGTGCAATATTTTTTTCCGCTGTTGAGAAGTAGCACCAGACCACGCTATGTTGTCTGCTTTCTGCCATAGTGCCAATTTGCGTGCAACCGTGCGTGCGTGTTGAGATTGTGAATGGCACGTCGCACTGCGCAGCCGCAGACCGATTGGTGTGTAACATCATACCACCGCGTCCGCGAGAGCTTTTCTTTTTTTTTTTTTATATCATACACATACTGTCCCCGATCGGCCTGCACACACTGCTAAAAACATTTAGTTATGCAGGAATTATTAATATAATTAAGTATCGATACTTTGCAGAAAATATCGATACCACAATAGTAGCCTCTGAGTATCGATATATCGATACTGCAGCATCGATGTGCACATCCCTACTAGAGCCGTTCAGCTCTGTAAAGTTGAGCTCCATAAAGCCGCATTTGACAGGGTATGCCAGCCACAATCTCATCCATATTGCTATAAAATATAGCATTCTGTGTAGAATTCAAATAGCTGATACATTTTGTGGTCTGCGCCGACTCACGCATGTGATCCGCTCCGTGCTATCGTGTCTCTGGATCAGAGCAGTGTGTGTGCGGTGTGGTGGTTAGCGTGACAGCACGAAACCAGACTTCATTTTTTCCTTAATGGAAAGCATATTTACACTTTTGAATCGTTCCTCGTCCCCTATATAGTGCACTACGTGCCATTCACTGTACAGAAAAGTCTAATTCTGTGGACAAGTGACCAATTTCAGCCGTGGCTTCAGCATCTATTTTATAGTGTAGGGGGCGGGCGCTTCGGATTCTAGAGAGTATTTGATTGGACAGAAAGTTTGATGAGAAGCTGAAGTACGATGTGACGTCAAAAAAATCATTGAGCTGTTTTGGCGGAAGTGACGAACTGCAAGCTTTGAATGCTTATATCTTCTAAATGCGAATTTTGTCACTGTTTTGGAGCACACTGCCTTATAGATAACCTTAAGAATAACATATTGATACTAACACCCAAAAAACTTTAATTTTGATTTCATGGGGACTTTAAAGGAAAATAATTTATATCATGTAGTGCAATGGACAAAAAAGTATAACCACTGACTGATGGCTGATTCATATGCCATGTGGCTACAGAATAAAACTAATATGGATAAAGGATAAAGGATACTATCCAGAATTTCCAGTTCTGAAGAGTTCTGTTCTTTACATAGTCGTCAAACTTCTCCCTCATGTGGTCAAAGCGATGGCGTGTGATGGGAACCCCTGTATCAGGAAGCTGTTCCTGGCACAAGCTGCAATAAATAGTGGGCATCTTTAACAGTTCATCTACAGAGGTTACCTGTTTGAAATCATGTATGTTTTTTGAGCTCCCCATCACAGGTATCTGTACACTGAAATAGCCTGGCTAGGAAGCAGCAGTTTTTCCAAATGTAATACTTTAAAATAGTAAAAAAGTCTACTTTATTGCAATAAACATACCTTATAGATATATTAAGCTCCTCAATCTCCTCTCGTAGTCTCTTGGTCTCTTCCTGCATCTGTTGTCTCTCTAGTTGCAGTTTGCCAATGTAGTCGACTGTTTTTTGAAGTGTTGCAGCATTACTAATCTGGAAACCCAGTAGTGGGTGACAAAATAAATAACTTTTGATTATTTAAAATAGTTTCTCTTATTACAATTGTGCAGCGACAACTACAAGTAAGAATCAGGTTGTGATTTCAAGAATCAAGTAAAGTAAGATGAATTCAGATTTACATTTGATTGAGACCTGAGAGTCGGCACAAGATTGCACAATGTCTTGGAGCAGGCATTTATGGTGAATCGCCTCTTCTGCTCAGCAGATATGTGATTCACTCTGCGGCTCTGTGTCAAATCACATGACAAAATTACAAAGACAGAGAGATAAATTGGAAGATATTTGGATATTTCAACATAAAAATTATGATAACCTTGCTCAGTTGGTCAGTTAAGAGAGTTGTTAGTTCCCCCTTATGTCAGTTCCAAAATATAACAGCAGTCAATGGACAAAAACAAATGTGAATTGAGTAAATATTCAATAAATTGTGTTCATTCAATATAAGCAATTTTATGTACACCTCATATTCCATTAATATATTGAGTTAACAATTAGGGCTGCCAAGCAATTAAAATGTTTAATCCTAATAATTATATGATGTGCCAATTAATTAATTAATTGATTGCACATCAATTTGATCTGAGAAATTACCCCAAAAGATAATTTAAAGTCATTATTGTATTAAATGAGAAAAACATTGAATAGACGCTTCAAAAGTAGCTTTAGAAATAAATACTTACATTCAACATAGAATTACACAAACTTTTAAGGCCACAATGTGGTCATAACATTGTTTTTCAGAAGCTGCATCTGAAGTGGCATTTATGTATATTTACACAGACTGTTCAGCGGTGGCATGAATGCATTTACACTGCAATTAGAATTACATAAATAATGCTATGAGAATGGGTTTTAAATGGGCATTAATGTTTTTTTATTCAATATTGAAATATGAAAAAAAAAAAAAAACGGACTGGGGAAAGAAATGCCAGTAAATTACTCAATTAAATTATTTAGTCACTCATTCAACTGATTCGTTTACATGGCTGGTTCATTCAGAAACGAAGCAAATGACTGTCTTTATGAATCGATCACTGAATTATCGACTCACTAGATTTGTTCTGTAACAAAACAGCACTTTGTGTTGCTCGGAAAAGCACAACAGTTCTGCTTTGGCTTTGTTTGGAACTATTTTTGTTGGTGAAATTGAGCAAAAACAGACAATGTTGCATCTAAAATGTAACAATATTGTATAAAACTATTCACTTTTGAAATCATACTGATATTAAAGGGGTCATGACATGAGAATTCAAATTTGCCTTGATCTTTTGGCATATAAGAGGTTTTTGTACCATTAAAGTGCCCCTATTATGGATTTTCGAAAAGTACACCGTGTCTAAACCGGACGCGAGCGGCGTGGCGTGACAAAATACTATAGAACTCATTATAATCAGTGATGCTGTCCACACTGGACACAACACGACACGACAAATCCCTGACAGAAAACTGCTGCTGTGTTCTATTTAAGACGTATTGACACAAATTTCAAATGGTTTTCAGCGGTCGCTTTGTCGCGTCCAGTGTAGAGAGACTTTAGCTGTGGCGGCGTCAACTGGTGTAGACACGGTGTAAGTGAATGAAAACATCCTGCAAAGTTTTAAATCTGAAAGTGCACTGTGTATAAAGTTATTGTCTCTGAAAAGAAAGAGTCGACTCTGAATCATTGAAACGAGTCGTAAAACGAATCCCAAGCCGTTTCATGTTGACGTCAACATGAAACATTAGCATATTGCTCGCCCACTTGTTGGTCTTTTCATGTTGGTCTGAATGAAAATGCAAATTCATTATTTGCCGCTAGGTGCTGCTTTTGGAGCGGTAAAAATAGCGGTTTCCCCTGTAATGGCTGTAAACAAAGCAGCACTGCGCTCACAAACGCTGCTTTATCAGGCATTACAGGCATGATGAAATGAAAATGAGACCAATCAGACCAATCACCGAAGATTAGCGTCACGCAAAGGAGGGGTTTGGAAAAACGAATCGTTTGGGAGTCGTTGAGCAAATAAGGTAAAAATAAATGCATATTATAAGACAATGAAAGTGTTTTTTGACCTTGCATGCATGTCAACCTGTTGTTGGGGACTCCCAAAACCAAAATATGACCCTTTCATTACCCATAACCATAACATTCTCCTCATTATAAACAAAGCATTTATTTAATGAAGCTCCAAAAACAGCTCGTTTTGGATCTGAGGTGCAAGCTGACGTCAACCAGGCACAAACATTTGCATAAACGCTGCCTACAGAGCAATGCATCAACAAATAGTCTACACTGGATACAGTCAGGGCCGTCCTTTGAGCGGTGCAACTGCTGCACCGGGCCCGCGGCAAACGGACTGAGGGGGAAGGAATGTGTTTGTGAACAGAGCTAGGGGGACCCGCTTAACTACCTCACACCAGGCCCCGTGTCAGCTAAGGATGGCCCTGGATACAGTATACAGATGTGCGTTTGCTTTCTGACAACAGTACACATGCTTGAGTGTGTCGTCAGGACAAATGGGTGAAAGATCGTTCACTTTTATGCGTTTGGTTTAAACAGCTCGTTCGCATCTTTGTACACATATCAGAATGATCCCAGCGTGAGGAACAAGTTGATAGTTTATTTTTAATGGCATCCTGGATTGTGTCAGAGGATTGAAGAGTATTTTGTTTTGTAAACGAGGCACAGTGTCATGGAGAGATCACAAAGAAACATTTGTTGAAAGATAAAGAGGTACTAGATCTGACCACAGCTGAATCACAAACCGAAAGTAAATTATTTCATAATGCTTTGTCTGGAAATAACTGTTTTATTCTTGATCATGTTGTCAAAACACTCACATGCAATAGTGAGGGGGTGCTGATACTGTTTCCTTTGCAATGACGTTAGCCAATCATAACAGTGGACGATTATTGAGAAGCCTTAAAGGACCCGCCCCTCAAAAACAGGTTGTTTCACACAGAGGGTCAGAATGAGGGTTGAAAATCATAATTTTCCCACATTTATTTATTTATTTTTTGTGCAAAAAACTTAATTAACATAAGTAAACCTCAAGGAACATTTAAAATAAAAATCCATGTTATGGCCCATTTAAGGAAATAACAGCACTCTTGTGATATTTCTTAACTATATCCTATGATATAAAAATAAGACAAAAACATATAGGCCTACAGGGGAATTTTTGCCCACATTTCTTAAATTTTAGGGGCATATAACCGCATTCTCATAGGCTACTTCACGCAGTCAGTCTGCATCGATGTAAGATGGCATACAGGTCTGGGCCAGAGCGGAATATGTTAAATGTGTTGATAATTTTAACTTGTTATTTTATTCCATGATTAATCACACAAAATTAATGCATTAAATCGACAACCCTAGCATTATATCAGCCATTCAGTACTCTGCGATTATCATAAGCCTTTAAAAATTCATTATCAGTGGACCATTAGTTGCAATAAATATACATCAAATAAGTATTTAGATTTGCACTCTGATTTGACAGATGCAAATTAACCGTTTGCATTTCTGAATAGACTAATAAATATAGACCAATACATTTGGAAACCATAATAGAGTGTAATATCATAAACCATTACCTGACTGGCTTCATTTTTGCCCATGCCTGCACTGGGGTTGAGAGGTGACTGGGGGCTTGGTACCTGTTCTGCTCCCAATGGTGAACCTTGACCTGAGACTCGACCATCATGTACTAAAGAAAAGGAGAAAAAAAGCTCTCTCACAATCCTAGATTCAGTGAAACACAAGTAAAATAAAAACAAAGCAATTTCAGCATAAATTTAAGGTGGCTGGATCTAACCTGTACTTGCTGACTGCACTGATGTCTTGTTGGATATAGTGGTGGTAGTTTCTTCTTTGGGTATGATTAGTTGCGGCGACTTCTGTGTCTGAGGGAGAATATGAAAACCAGCAGAACCCTGCAAGGCAGTGGGATTTTTTTTAAAAGTAATTATGCATTGCTTGGGGCAAATGGAATGATTATTTACCAGGGTTGAGCAGAATTCAAAATGTAGTAATTGGCTCCCTTTTAATTAATGAATCAGAAATGTAACCAATTACACTCGATGGGATGCTGAATTGGAATTATAGGAATTTACTGAATTACAATTTACTGTATTTTTGATCAAATAAATGCAGCCTTGTGGAACATAATTGACATAATAAATTTAAAAAATGTAGAACATAATAAATTGGCAAATCTCACAGATCTCAAACTTATGAATGGCAGTCTATTCTTAAAAAAAACTATTATATTATTATTATTATTAATAAAAATAATCATCATTGTTTATTATAACGATGGTTTAATTAATTTACACTGAAAATTTAAAGGGGTCCTATTATGCTCTTTTAGAAAGTCTTGATTTTGTTTTGGGGGGTGTACTAGAACAGGCTCTCATACTAGTTTGTTCGAAAAACACATTATTTTTCACATAATTTACATTATTACAACACCTCTCTCCCCAGTCTGGCATGAACGGCTTGAATAGTTCCTGTATCAAATGAAGGCCCGCCTTCTGAAATACGACGTGCTGTGATTGGTTAGCTGGGCCAGTGTGTGTTGAGATTGGCAGCACTCAGTGCCTGGTCGGGAAATGTCACGCCCCTTTACCATAGCCGCCTGTCAGCTTCAGTGTAAATATTGCGCCAAAATCAAATCAATTTGAGCGCGATTTAAACCCGGATGATTGTAACCACTCTAAGTTCGTCTGCCTTGGGAAAGCTAGCGTGTCTCCGACATTGTGATAACACTCGTTGCCTTCTCTAGTGCAATATGCGTTGTAGTCCAAACGAGTCATTCGTTGTAGTTTTTGAAAAGTGATTTCTGTTAAATAAAATATCTCCTTTTGAATTGGACTTTGAGCTTTGTAACTTCGCAGATCTTTTTTTGCTCAAACAGCAACATTACAGACTAACTAAAGTTGAAAAAGTGAAAAAGCATAATAGGACCCCTTTAATAAAATTACTAAAAGCCATTATATTCCATTTCTGTTTTCTTACGTTCAAATCTTAATTACAATTCAGCGTCCTTTTTGCTACCTCAATTCAAATGTACGAATTGGAATTTAAGTTTCTCTCAAATGAATTCTGAATGGTACACAACCCTTTTATACAAACAATTATTGCAAACAGGATAGGACATAAAGGACGAAAGGCTTACACAAGGAATACTGGAGGAGGCAATGACCATACCAGTGGTGGGGACAACATCAGAGTTGTGAGGGGACGGAGTGACAATGACAGCACTGGTGGGACCTGGGAATGGTTATGATGGGAGATGTATATGATGAGAACAAACTTCAGCAGTGACAATGCTGTCGATTTTAAGCCTTCTACAAGTCTTCTGGATGACTGCCAAGCAGGTTAAAACAGTTACAATTAATCTTCATTTAAGCATTAACATTCATTTTCTTTGAAAGGAAATAAATGTAAACAGACTTTTGTGCAATTTGTGTGGATGACACTTACAGGTTAATGCAACAGCGCTCTGTACTGGTTCACGCACACAAAAAAACACAACAGATTCTGTTACTTTCACACTGCATTATAATTTTTTATAATGTCTTCTGGTTAAAAACTGTAAAATTACAAGCATCCTCTGTGATGGTTCACATTTGATTGCTTTTCATTGAAATAACTTTCTTATTTTTTTTTTCTTATCAGTTATGTACATTAGGATTTCATGTTTGAATTTATGCTGTTAAATTAAGGTTTACTGCATTGTGTATTTACCTCAGCATGTGGAAAAGCTACTTACGGTGAACTGTGATCGCTTTGATTTTAACTGTGTTTATGGTGGCTGTCAGTATATTACAGGGATGTCACGGTGAGAATGACAATGCTGTCGATTTTAAGCCTTCTACAAGTCTTCTGGATGACTGCCAAGCAGGTTAAAACAGTTACAATTAATCTTCATTTAAGCATTAACATTCATTTTCTTTGAAAGGAAATAAATGTAAACAGACTTTTGTGCAATTTGTGTGGATGACACTTACAGGTTAATGCAACAGCGCTCTGTACTGGTTCACGCACACAAAAAAACACAACAGATTCTGTTACTTTCACACTGCATTATAATTTTTTATAATGTCTTCTGGTTAAAAACTGTAAAATTACAAGCATCCTCTGTGATGGTTCACATTTGATTGCTTTTCATTGAAATAACTTTCTTATTTTTTTTTCTTATCAGTTATGTACATTAGGATTTCATGTTTGAATTTATGCTGTTAAATTAAGGTTTACTGCATTGTGTATTTACCTCAGCATGTGGAAAAGCTACTTACGGTGAACTGTGATCGCTTTGTAATTTTGCCACTGATTAATATACTTGTGACAACAGCAGTATTGCTGCACATTTTGCCATTGACGTTAAAGGCACAATATGTAAGTTTTCGTCGCTAGAGGGCACATATTAAAAACAAACAAGAAACAAAGGCGTAGTTTGATGACGCCGTGACTGAGTGTGGAATCATGGGAGTTGTCGTCTTCATCCCCACAGCCGATGCAATCCAATGGGACTTGGGCAGAAATCATGTTAATTGATGAGCTAATGTATTAAAGACTTATTAAGGTCACTGTAGTATGAAGCAGGGTGGGGCTAAAAGTCGTGGAAGTGATTGCTAATGAAGGACGAGCGCGATACACGGCTCGATAGCAGCAGAGCTTTTATTATGCCACAGTCGACTGCTTCTGCTTCTTCCGGTCATGCGTATGTGGGGTAAAATAGCGCCATTTTATACTAGATACATTTGAGTGTATTGAAAGTTCCGTTATAATGCTACTCTGTGCGTCCGTCACCTGTCTAATAAAATGCATAACATATTATAGTCTTTGAGGTTTCCATGTTTCAACATAATAAAACCGGAAAAATCGAAGGGTTATGACGTCATTGGCAGGCGACGCAATGACACTATGGACACGGTCCGTTACACTAGTTAAAATTGATTATTTCTCTGTATTTAAACATTCTTCAAAACATTTGGGATAACGCAAGTACACAAGTCAGCAAAATATATAACACTGTTCTAGTGGTTTTGGGATATTTTAATAAAGAAATCTTACATATTGTGCCTTTAAGGGACTGTAGAGCTTACTTTGAATACTTGAAAATGGTGGGTTAAACAAGCCACAAAAAGTATTCGTTTTAATGAAAGACACAGCAACAATAAAAGAAACAAAAGAAAAATTCACTTGAATTAAATGTAGAAATATTGTCTCATTTATAATTGTCAGTTTATTATTGTAACATCTGTTGTCCAACTGAAGTAAATAGTTATTTCTATGAAAAAAGCAAAACAATGGGTGGTGTGATGTGAACATGTATTCAGGGGTGCAACGGATCACAAAACTCATGGTTCTGATCATATTACAGTGGGATATGTTTTTGGATCAGCAAACAAGAAATAAATAAATGGGGACGGGGGAGTGGGGTAACTTTGCTCTTAACTTAACTCTCATTACTTAAAGAAAACTGAAAGTACGTTTTTGATACAACAAAAACTACTACCCTAACTAACAAATTTAAAGCATGATTAATGGAAGGTGACCGGTCAATAATAAAACAATAATAAATACACAAACTACAAGCACAGATAAATATAATAGAACAAAGTTACAGATAACATAAGATCTAACAGTAGTATTTGGGTACAGAAATGTAATAAGTGTAAAATTACACTGCATAGTGTTTACTGTGTAAAATAATATAGATTAATCTTTTTGTTTGTTTGTTTAACAAATGACAGACAGCAGCAGGCATGTACAGACTCATACACATCTGATTTCTGTGTTTACACACACTTTACTTAAGCCATTACCGACTGTGTTTACTAGAATACTTTTTTAGAATACTTTTAGGGATGCGCCGATCCGATATTCATATCGGGTATCGTCTCCGATACTTCCATTTTTCTTGGATCGGGTATCGGTCAGAGAGGGCCGATCCAAATCCGATAATTTTATTTAATTTTTTTTCGATTGTGTGAATTATTCTGTGTTACTTCTGAAGCCATACGATAGCTTAATGGGAGCTAGATATGAATATTTAAGTCCTTACATTAAAGTTCACACAAACTCTTTTCTCCGCTGTGGCTGTCAGTCATTCGTTCAGCCTTTAAACCCTGCAATTGAATGATTTAAAATTGCTTGAATGTTTAAACTGGCAAGACTTAAAACCATGTACAAATGATAAACTTTCACTCTACGATGGTTAAACTTTGCAACTAATTAAGCGAATCGCATGCATGCCAAACCATGCGGCCTGGTCCGTATGGATCATGGATCAACTGCGATCCATTACACCACAAAATGTAATTGATGTATGGAGTGAACACCAGTAACACAGACTACAGCCTAAGCCTATTGTATTATACATTTGGTATATTAACATTTTTAGTTAATGAAATTGCTAAAATAATACAGTTTTCAACCTGTTAAACTTACATTTTCAATTTAAATCTTTAAAACTTAATGTTGCTACTAGTTCTAGCAACCACAGCCGCCCTTTTTTTTTTTTTTTACTTTTTCATCATGTTTTTTTTTTTACAGTGCAGCATCAGCATGTTACAAAATCTGCTTTGAGGAGAGACACAAACCTGTGAGTATGAGTTGAGATGGCGGCAGCGGATTGGCCGGGACAATCGGTCTCTGTGGATGTCTGGCCTTTTTCCTAGAGACAGTGGGCAGAATGGATTTGGGCAAGGCAAAGTTGACTGGCTGTGAGTTGAGTGAGGTGGAGGTTGAGGCTGCAGGCTGTGGAGATGGTGGAGCGGGCAGCTCAAAGCTTGTTCTGTGACTGAAGATAGAGGCTGCATCAGTGGGAGTTACTGTGGAAGGGGCAGTGTGCGTTATTACGGATGGAGGAGGGATGCTTGGGACGGGCTGGGGGACTGTAGTAACTGCAGAAACACCTCCACACTGGAGAGATTGTGGGGCTGGTGGGAGAGGAGGAGCTGGTGGTGGCAGGAGTGATGGGACAGAGGGGGTCACTTTCTCTGGGAAAAGTGGCATGTAGGTTTGTGGGTAGGATGGGCCAACAGCGTTACCATTGTCCTGGCTGGAGACTGAGAGGTGGCTGGGCAAAGGAGCAGAGGGGATGAGGCGGTAGTCCAGTGGCACAGAGGGAAGCTCTGTGGAGAGCGGCATGGATGACAGCAAAGGAGCCTAACAAACAACAGATACGAATATCAGCACACTCTAACAGAGACATCAGGCTCTTTCCTGCCTTTCTAGTGGCCATATAATTATCTGAGAAAAACAAATACTAAATCTCACAAGTAGGAATAGACAGTATAGTAAATATTTGCAATACGTTTGCTATTGTGGTAGAAGATACAATACATTAATACATATTAACACTATAAAGCTTACTGTATCATATTTGATATGCAAATTTCAAAGGCCTCTAAATTATGTTCAAATCTTTGCTGAAAAAACTGTTTTACATAATCTACTACATGCTTTCTGTCGTCTGATTGATATTTTATACATTTTCAGCAAGTAAAAGGTATTACAGCATAATTGTAAAAACGTCCACCTTAAGGTAGAGGTTAAAGTGTCTCCTTGCTGAGGAATTTTTACTAATTTCTAATCAATTATTTTTGTGTACATTTATAAGTTATTAGGGAGAACTTGCACAATTGGTGGCTGACTAAATACTTTTTATCCCCACTGTAAATGCAAGATTAACTTTCGTTTTAGGTTTACTTGATTTGTATGGATAATCAAATAAGATCAGGCTTTTGAGGAAAGTTTATTTATTCATTTCTGCTTTGATTATAAAACTAAGCAATTCAATATTATCTTGTATTATTGGGAGATTTTGCAAGAGAACTGATATCTACATGTATTTTACTTAACTAGTCTGCTATACTGGTATAAATATTGCATTGATTTACTTTACAGGCCATCAGAATTTTATATTACTGTTTGGCCATATAAATATCAGCAACTGCACCAAATTGCATATTTTTGCTCACTCTGGGTCTCTGAATATTTTTTCCCCTCCTTGAATACGAGCTTTACATTCTCCTTTATTATACACTATAAGACATAAAAGCGTAATGTATCAAATGTCAAACTATTTACAAACATTTTTTTAATTTAAGTATTTTATCTAAATGTTAAATAAACTGTTCCATTAAAAAAAAGTTCCAAAGAGCATGAAAAGAGTGTGACAAAGGGTGTTAAAATATAAGCCTGTGGTGACATTTCTGCATTATGTTGCTTCTTGCAAAATTTTCAAAGTGAAATGCCCAGTGAATGGGGCTAAAAGCACATTCAGTTTTGTCTGAAACAGGTGAACATGGCAAACTTTCTTTTTCATTGGTTGTTGTAAATAGTGGCAGTTTGGATATGAAATGTCTGGTGAATTGCACTATAGGTCAATGCAAGGTCAATGGTTAATTCTTTCAAATTTAACTCACGTTTGAAAATAATGTACCAGCTACCATAACTGAGTGTAAATAAATGTAAATGTGAGGTAAAAACGTATTTGCTGAAGCAACCATGCCATTTTACTTTGCTTCTACAAGTGTTCAAGCTCATTTGTTGTGACTCATTTGGACTTTATCAGGTGAGCTACTGAGCAAGTTTACAATGTCAGAAAATTCACACATATTGAGCTGGTTATGTGATACAAACATCAAAGAGTGGTAAAAGTGTTTTAAAGTTTTATTACCACTAGTATACCTTTCAGCTGGACACTGCAGTAAATGTAAATGCAGTAAAACTCCAATACACTTTTGGAGTTTAGCAGAAATGTAGATAAAGGCATGTTTTTTCAGTGAGCCTATGTTGAATTTAATGCACTCATTACATTTTCTAGCATTCATAGCAAAATAATTACTTGCGTTACACAAATGTTCCAAAGTTTACCCACACTTACTACTGTGTGTCAATACCTGGATGATCAATAGCTATATTTTTGTGATAGTTATTCACGAATCCCTTCTTTGTCCTAAGCAGTTAAACTCTGGCTGGCTTTTAATAAATCATGTTGCTTTCTTAAGCATCAATAAATGTTTTAAAATGGGATCAAATATGAAAGAAGATGCTGGAAAAACAAAGAAAGTGCAGGACCTGGAGGACTTTTCTCAAGGACACTGCACAGTTGTATTTTGTGTAAATTCAGTTTAGTTTATTCATAGTAAAAATTGTATTCTTTATATTGGTGTAATACCTAACAATGGTTCTTCCAACTAGAGGCTGGCATATTTTCGGGAATCCCACGGAATGGGAAACAAAATCACGTGATTGGGATGGGACAGGAAAAATGTCAGCGGGAGTGTGTGCCAGTAGGGCTGGGCGATATGGCGATATTATCGTATATCGACGATGTCTCGTAAGTATCGCGATGTCGATGTCAACAGTCAGGTAACAGACGATTATCGGCATTATCGGGAAAAAATTACAAATGATAAACCTAGTAAGTAGTAAAAAAATATTTTATATAGCCCCATAGTCACCATACAGGTCTTTTTGCATGCAAGAATTAAATAATTAGGAGGGTTGGGCATCAAAAAGCTATTCCAATTTCGGAAATCAGATCAGATGCATAAGGTCAGGAATCAAATTACTTGTTATAAAATTATACATTTCGATTCTGCTTCTCGATTTCTGTATGCGCTTTGGGTGCTTTCACACCTGTAGATCGATTGCTTTGTTCCGAAACAGGGATTACAATTATTACAATTTACGTAGACGATATTATCGGATATCACAATATTTTTAAAGCCGGTTATAGATAAGATATTTTTGACATATCGCCCAGCTCTAGGTGGGACCGGAAATCGTAATAACACTATGATACCCAACTTTATACACAAATAAACCTTTTATATAACTAAACTATAAACTGCATATTTTAATTTTGAACTCCATTCTAGTTGCCCTGTCTCTTTATGCTCTCCTCCTGTTTGCTTTGGTGTGGCTAGTTAAGTGAACGACATAAGCAGTCCATGACGGACAGATCGTTAACGGCTGGTCCGTGTGGTAATATAGTGTACATCGGGCAGGACATCCAAACGCCGGCCCACCTATCATTCATCGACCTCAAATATGCCTTTTCATCTGAAAGATGTATGTAGTAACAACTTTACATGGCCGCTCAATCTAATGTTAACCTAGAGAAATGTGCGCTATAGAAGTGTCTGCGTGGAAGCTGAACAGCAGCTCGCTCACTGCGGGACAAAGCGATGCGCCGGTGCGCTCACTTGTTCTTAAAATACTCCATAAGTTTTGGTCATACAGATAAAAGTAATACACCTTTCGAATCTGTAAAGACTCTACGTTTATTTCTGTGCACTCAGAATAACAACGAAATATTGCGCTTCTGTAAAATAATTCAAGCAAGCAGGATGCGCTTTCTGCCGTCTCGGTCATGTGAACTTGAGCAAGTAACTTCGAAATTCCATTTATGATAAATATATTTATTGAGAGTGAAATGTCTACTTTCAAATGAAAAAAATTCAAATAGAAAACGTGTGTGTAAGCATGGATGATTTACATGAAATTTAATGTGTGTGCAATGCACACTGTGCATTGTTTAAGCTGGCTTTCAGTTCAATAAAATAACAAAAAAATACATTTTGGATTTTTATTCAACTAAAGTGGGCATGATGTGATCTGTACTGTATTTTTTACTGTAACAGAGATTCCGTCCGAAAACACAACACGGGAGTGGGAGTCATTCTTCTGGGATTGGGACGGGATGGGATTTTCCCCCAGTTTTTTCGTGGGATTGGGACAGGATGGGATTTTTTTTTGTGGGAGTCGGAGAGGAGAGGTTTGAAAATCCACTCCCGTGTCACCCTCTACTTCCAACTGGGGGAAAAAACATTATATTAAGTTACTTTAAAATAAATAGTTTTTTTTGTTTTGCCATATACAACCCCAGCCCTACTGTCCAGTTCTCATAGCAAGCATACTAAACTCGTCTTTCTTCAAACAGACCTTTGTTTCTTTTGCTTAAAAATTGTGTTAATTCGAGACCTTTGTGCAACTCATTGTGTCTGATTATACTATGCACAAATGTTCAGTTATAACAATATGCAATCATTACACTCACATGGTTGAGTTTTAGAATTATCACGAAGCAACTGTGCATTTGTGGAGGAGGACAGAAAGTACTTACAAAACAGGGCCAACTACATCCCTAAAAAAATTTGTGAATCCAGGGACAGGATTGTTACCTGTGTTTGGGAGCTGCTGCTGGTTAAGGGAGTGACGGATGGGGAAGTGGGGGAAGTGGAGGGGAAGGCTGGCTGGCGCAGGGTGTGAAACAAATCTAGTTACAAAAAAAAGAGAGAAAGTAAAACAAAATGTTTGATCCAGTGTGTTAACTCTTGAATTACTCTGACAGATTCAGTGAATTTGTTGTACATTAATTGAATTTCGGACCAATTTATGATATTGTCATGTTCCACAAAATGGTTTGATTGATTCAATAATTCAAAATCAACAGCTAAAAGAGTGAATTAGTCACAAATTAGACACCAAAAAAAAACAGTAATATTGCGAAATTACCACAATTTAAAATATATATTTTTCCATTTTAAAATGTAATTTATTCCTGTGATGCGAAGCTGAATTTTCAGCATTATTACTTTAGACTTCATTGTCACATGATCGTTCAGAAATCATTTTAATATGCTGATTTGGCTCTGCCATCACTTTATATTTTAAAATATATTCAAAAAGAAAAGTTATGTTAAACTATGATTATATTTCACAAAATTACTGTTTTTACTGTATTTTTCTTTAAATAAATGCAGAATCATCGATCACAAGAGTCTTCTTTCAAAGAAATTACAAAAAATTCTTAATTATTCCAAACAACTATGGCAACACTTTAGATGAGGAAACACATTCACTATTAACAAAGACTTTTCCCCTCAGATAGACAATCACCTATTGCACCTTTAAGTTTAGGTATGGGTAGGGCTCCAGACAAAAAAAATTGAGTAAGGAGCCATTGGCTCCTATAAAAAATAACTTAGGCACCAAATTATTTTTTTAGGTGCCACAGAATAAACGTGTTTTATTTATTTTATTATTATTTTTTTTTTTACATTTTAACATTTCAATCATACTGTCATGTGTTTGTCTAATTTTTTCTTGACTTTATCAGCGTTTTAATCCATCTTGCAGATGACATGGGAACTAAGGTTCACTTAAAGTGGGAACTAAATATCTTTTCCAACTTGAAATATACAGTCACAAAGAATTGTTCATTACACAGAATCTGTACCAATATCATGGACCATAAGCATCACTTGGCCACTGAGTGTAGTTTGGGCTCCTCCTCAATGCATCCTGTAAATGTTGTCATACACTCTTAAAAACAAAGGTGCTTCACAATGCCATAGAAGAACTTTTTTTGTCTAAATGGTTTCATAAAGAACGTTTAACATCTGAAGAACCTTCACGTTTCACAAAAGGTTCTTTGTGGTGAAAGAAGGTTCTTCAGATCATAAAAAGCTAAGAAAGAGATGGTTCTTTAAAGAACCTTTGACTGAATGGTTCTTTGTGGAACCAAAAATGGTTCTGTGAAGAACCTTTTAAGCACCTTTATTTTTAAGATTGTATGTCTTTCACACTTTCAGTCTGTTTTTCTTAATTAGTAAAATGCAATTTTATAGAAGGAGTTGAATCATGACAGGTTAAGTAAAAATATTAATATGCAATAGTGCATAAATATAGCAAAATGCTCCTCTTTATAGTTATTTTTCTAGCTGACTGATTAGCTTATGGACACCGACTGGTTATTCTGAGGTAAATGTAAATTACGTTGCAATGTTTACAAGCTCTACACATTTTCTGCAGTTTGAAACACTGAATGAGCTTTTACATGAGACATTTCAGTAAGTTGTACTGTAGGCTCTCTTATAAAATAGCCTACCTTTTGATGTTAATTCGTGTTCATTATGTACTATAGTAGTAAAGAGAAATATTAAATGGGTTCACTTGCCGCTTGAACTGAGGCGCTAAGGCAATCACACCTGCCACATTAAAGAGCGCCAAAACTGTATTTATTGTATGAATTTCGTTATGAATTTGGAATAATTTTAAAGCTGGTACTTTGTTTATTAAAAAGTAACAAAGCACAAAGCTTTTTGCGATTACTGGACGGCAAGTGCGCTTCAAATAATATGAAGTTCACCCATTAACAGAACACAGCATATAGACTAAGATCTTGATAAGAAGCCATATTAGTAATGATTATAAACGAGAATTGTTAACGATATTGCCAATATCCACACAGCTGACAGCTTTACCTGTTGTACAGTAGTTTGTTCAAGTTGTGCACGAAATAGATACTGCTTTTCTGCACTTTCACTTTGCACGTCTCCATTATTTCGATCTCTCTCGCGCTGTACAACTGAGCTGCGTTTAGCAGGTGTGCGACAATGCTGCTGTGCGGCAGAGATGAGGACTGTTTGAAACTCTTTTTTTCCACTAAAAATTTGATGCGCATCGTCTCAGTTTAAAAAGCATTACATGCTAATTTTAAAGTTATAACGTAAATATATATATCCAGTGGCGACCTCAGCAAAAACTTCACTCGTAAATTAATATTTTTGGTTGCACCGTCTACCGTTTTAATCGCAGTCTGGAGCCCTGGGTAGGTTTAAAGGGATCTAACATGGTCATGTAGCATAAAGCATAATATGTACTTTATAAGTACAAATAAACAGCCAATATGCTACTAATGTGCACGCAAATAAGCAACTAGTTAATAGTGAATAGTGAATCTAAAGTGTTACCCAAAAACTCATTTTGTCAACAAGTCAATCCCTAATTTGCCAATTAACAAGAGTAAATGTGCTTGTACCTTGCAGAGGCTCAAAAGTGTCCATGAAGTCCAGATTGGGTTGCAGTGGGATGAGGCCAGGCTGGATCATATCTGCATTACCTGCATGGGCTAAGAGGACAGCGAGGCTTATAGACAGTTTATCTTACTCTCGAATAAACATGTTAACAAGGCAGACTTCGATTGTCATTTCTCACCAATCTCCCTCGGATTGGGCCATGCTACAGGTTGATGAGAGGCCAGTGTGGAAAAGAGTGTGTCTGAGAACTCAGACATGAGCACATCCATGTCGAAGAGCGAGTCCATCTCCATTGGAACAGGTGAATCACAACTCTTGTGGGATCTACAACGGCCTCCCACACTGACATCCTCATCCTGGCACAAGAGGACACGGCAGGTGTCTGGACACACTTCCCCAAAGAGTGAAAACTGTTCCTCTGCCCCCTTCGGAGGTCAAAATGCAACAAGAAGGCCAGGTCAACAGACACACTCAAGGTTCATGCAAAGATAAATGCAAGCATCCAGCATGTGTGCTAGCATATGCACTAGCAGTCAAAATGTATTTGAACCGGTTCTTTTTAGTGCACTACATGAACCAGTTCACCAAATCGGACCGAACCAACTGAAACAGTTCTCGGCTTGAGCAGCAAAGATCTACAAGTTACTCAATCAAAACTTTTCGGATGTCTGACAGCCAGTCTGACTCAAAATGAGCCAAAACATACCAGCATATATGATCCTATGAGGAATGAACTCTTTTAGCTCTCCAGCTCCTCCAATAGTCACTGAACTGAGGAAAGAGTTCCAAAAGAGAAAAGAGTTCCAAAGAGCCGCTGATATGTGCATGTGAGTATACACTTGAATGAAGGGGCGAAATGAAAGTTTTTGTGGTTTCTCATGGTTTATGTAAAAGGGGGAGTTGATTAAAGAGCAGGTCATATGGGTTTTTGAAAAATATCTCTTTTGCAGTTTATAACGTAGTATAAATGAAAGTTTTCTTAAATGAAAACAATCTGCAAAGTTGTTAATCAAAAAAGTGCATGATAAATAAAGATATTGTCTCTTAAAAGAGAGTCGATTCTTAATCGCCTTAACGAGTCGACATATTTTCGAATCTTTTGCCAGACGTCACTGTATACGTCACTGGGTAACACATTTGCATAATCCCCACCTGCCCGCGAAATACAAACAGAGTCTGACCTGCCCACAAACACTTCCGCTAGTTAGTGTGTTCACATCATGTTGAGAAGACGCTGTGTTCAAAGATACCACAGAACCACAATTCGAACCTTTTGTTGTGTGCATGTCATTTTTTACCAAGGACTGCTTCTCTAATCTTGGTTTTTATCTTCTTTGGCTTCTAATCTTCTTTATTTGGACTAAAAAGCTCTCCGAACCACAACCTGTAAGTACAATTGATACATTTCAAAATATCAAGTTTTTGTGCTAATATGTGATGTACACCTAGTGCAGCATTAGGTTTCCAGGTAAAGCACGATTAATGTAGAGCATTAGGTTTCCAGGTAAAGCTCGATTAATGTAGACTGACATGTTCAGATTACTTAATTTAATAATAAAGAATGTAGTGTAGCGCACAGACTTCGAGTAAATTAACAGCAAATTTTCATTTTTGGGAGAACTATCCCTTTAAAATTCCTTTTGATCTAAAGGCTAAACCAGGGTTTTCCAAACTTTTTTGTCAGCTGAACGCCTTGAAGAGATTTCACATTAATATTAAGAGAATTAAGGATACATTTGTGGTTCTCTGATGTTGATTATTAGTCACATGACATTTATTTAAAAATGATACAGGGCTGCTCGATTTGGCCAAAAAATTATATTGTGAATATTTTGTCAAGCACTGCAATTTGAACTAATTTGACTTTTTTTTTTCATATGAAAATGTCTCATATTTCTACTGCGGAGACATCCAGACACAAAGAACAACAGACTCCTATACTCCTAAAGGGAAGTTACTTTTTAAGGGTGTTCACACTTGGGTTCAATATTTACAAGAACCAACTAACACTAGAAGGTACAATACAATAATTATGTTTTACATTCTCCGATCAAACCCTCAAGTTTTAAATCCTTGCACATTTTCAGCAGACTATTGGCCAAATGCTGTAATCTTCAATGCACAAAAATGCTGGAAAATGATGCTAATGTGAATGTAAATAAAGTGAACACAGCGCGCATTGCATTTCCTAATGCACATTAAACTCACAGCGCTTGCAGAGATGGAGTTTGTGAGAAGCAGCATTTATACCCTGGGTTAAACCACAGGCAGTGTATACCCAAATCAAGTGAAAGCTGATTTATTTTCAAAATAAAAACCTGTGTGTCCCAAAACCTAAGCTTTAAGTATTTGTGTGGGTAGCTGTGTCTAATATCCTCTTCCAGCTCATGACAAACATCTTCAATGCATTCTTGTCATTCACTACAGGCTTAAACAGATTTTGGAACTGCCATTTGGCTGTAAATAAAACTGACTTCATTCCACATCACTAGCCAGCCATTCGTGATCATCCATGATCTGGCTCTGGGTCTTTCTCTATATAATTTACTAAGTAAATATAAACTATAACTCTCTATATAATATATATAACTCTCTCTATATAATATAACTCTATAAAATAAAGTTAATGCAAACTGCTGTCTTTCAAAAGTTTATAATAAAAATTAATCTTAAGACAGTACAGAGTAGGGCTGCACGATAAATCGCATGCGATATTTAATGCGCATCTTGTCAGTAATCAGCGGTAAATCTCCATCACGTGTGGGCTTTCACATGGAGCAGCATTTACTACACAGAGCCGTTGTTCACTGACAAGCTGCGCAAAACATGCGCAAAATATGATCGTGGTTTTGCGCAGCTTGTCAGTGAATAACGGCTCTGTGTAGTTAATGCTGCTCCATGTGAAAGCCTACACGTGATGGAGATTTACTGCTGATTACAGAAGCGGCTTTACTGACAAGATGCGCGTTAAATATCGCATGCAATTTATCGTGCAGCCCTAGAACAGAGAGTTTATACCTTTCCGTCACAGTCTTGTTTTCATTTGTGTAAAATTAAACAATCTACCCTGACTAAACTCTATTAGGCAGTGCTGATCTCTTTATAGGAATAAATTACAAACTGCAAATAACAGGAAAGAGATAAAAGAAAAAAAAACTCAAGAGCATGCCATTACACTTACATGCTAATTTACTAACTATACTTCAACTTTATAGTGAAGAAAAATACATCCTTTTAAAATTACCTTGAGGTTTTGCGCAGCTTGTCAGTGAACAACGGCTCTGTGTAGTTAATGCTGCTCCATGTGAAAGCCTACACGTGATGGAGATTTACTGCTGATTACAGAAGCGGCTGCAAATAACAGGAAAGAGATAAAAGAAAAAAAAAACTCAAGAGCATGCCATTACACTTACATGCTAATTTACTAACTATACTTCAACTTTATAGTGAAGAAAAATACATCCTTTTAAAATTACCTTGAGAAGGCTGGACAGGTCTTCATCTTTGTGCTTCTGTAACTATTAATAGAATTTAAACAGTACTTTATAAATATCAACTTGGTTATACAGTACTGTTAAAGTTTAATGTAGAGAGCAAATCAACTTACTCTTTTCTTGAAATATGTTCTCCATTTATGATATTCTCTGATGACAATTTCAATTCTCCTTTTCCAGTACTTTCCTTCTGTTGCTATTGCCTAGGTAACAGAAAAACAAAGTACACAAAAAATTAACTATCTGAACTAACTAAAAAAACAGGAATGAAAGTTTAGACATTCAGATCTAAAGATGAAAAAAAAAAATGACACACCAAAAAGACTCACCTCTGTTGGTCGATGTACTCCTGAGTCCATATTGCCATCCAAAGGAGTGACAAAATGGCAAACAGGGTTCTGCCTCTTCTCTACATCTTCAGGAAAGACAACTTACTCTTTTCTTGAAATATGTTCTCCATTTATGATATTCTCTGATGACAATTTCAATTCTCCTTTTCCAGTACTTTCCTTCTGTTGCTATTGCCTAGATAACAGAAAAACAAAGTACACAAAAAATGAACTATCTCCAAGAAAAAAACAGGAATGAAAGTTTAGACATTCAGATCTAAAGATGAAAAAAAAATGACACACCAAAAAGACTCACCTCTGTTGGTCGATGTACTCCTGAGTCCATATTGCCATCCAAAGGAGTGACAAAATGGCAAACAGGGTTCTGCCTCTTCTCTACATCTTCAGGAAAGCGCGGCATTGCAGATGGAAATTAACAATCTCATATGTTTTACCATTTCTGAGTGGTATGTGTGTTTAATTACTGGACTTACATTGTATATACCAGGCTCTCCAAATAGCGTTGTTGAGGCGAATCTTGTCTCTCCACAGCAGCTTGAGGCCTTTGAAATTCTTCCATTTTGGTGACACCAACCTTCCACTTATGCAAACAAAACAGATATATTACATTTTTTGAATAGCAAGACACAGGTGCACCCATGGTACAAATTTTAGGGCTATCAGATCATGACATTTTGGGTGTTATTAATTGTCACACAAACAGCTGCAACTAACTATTTATCTGCCTGTTTGGTTCATGTCACTTAGCTTACACATACATTGTACAGAGATACCAAAATATTGCACAGGCACAGAATGACAAATACAATTATTTTAAAATGTTTCTCTTTTGTACCCACTTTACTCAGTCAACCTGAATTTTACAGTAATATTGTTAAGACTTCTTTTTTTGAGTCTACTGCATTGTTTCATTCGTTGTTATGCTGAATATGTGCAACATCAGTCTTTAAATATCACTAAAATGTTACTAATTTGTTAAAAGAAAAACTTTATTCTGGGCACATTACCACCTCAGGGAGAAGTCACTTAAAATTATTCAAGAGATACTGTATGTTGTCAATTACTCCTTATTCCAGCAACAGATTTCTTTGGAATATCGCTGTACAGGCAAAACGTGTCACTCTGCAATGTTAATAAACAAAATGAGTTCAATTTTGGAAAAACATTTGAATAATTTAACCTTATCTTTTAGAATTTAACTTTTTACTCTAAAACCAAAGCTGCACCATTGCTTGAAAAATCACACATACAATTATGGGCTGTCACATTAAACAAATCATCATGAAAAGTGTTTTGTTCTCTGTGCACGTATAATTCATTCATAAGTAAAATAATAATTTTCTTTTCTATGCTGCTGCTGCTGTGAAGTTGTCTAGTAAATGTCTCCCTCTTACTTTGTATAACTTATTAATCCTTGCATACATTTCTAGGTGTATCGGCATAATGTCACCCAAAAAGTGAAAATTCTGTCACCATTAATACACTCACTTATCAAAAATAATGTAAACAGGCTTGTTCACGCAATATATTTTAAAAGTGGTCCATGTGACTTTCTAGATATACATCCTTTTACATTTTATTATAAAGAAATATATATATGCAGAAATTAAAATCGTAAAAGATGTATTCAAGTAATAGCATTTATTAATAATTCATCATATTTCTTAATAAATTAACAGACCCGAAACAAGAAATGTGAGTCACGATATTTCTAGTCACTCTTCACCTTTATTTGCAAATACACGGCTGTTTTAAGTATCTGTGTTTGTGTAGTTGGTTGCCAAGATTGGAAGGGGGAATTTTTTACACTTTCTGACAAACCAGGCGTCTAATATATAGGGTGGATTAGAGAGGGTCACTTGTTGTAATTATTTGTCTTTACTAACGCTAGTGTAGTGCGTTTTTAACTTTACTTGGTTGATATCAGTTGTCCAAAAGAACCAGTTCGGTTCAGATGTGCTGTGTCATTCATAGCAGGCAATCTGTTCGGTAGCTTCACGCGGAATCGCGCATGCGCAGTTTCATCAGTCAAATCGTTGTCAAATCGGACGCGTCCGAAAGAAACAGTTCTCGGTTCAGTGTACTGGTGATCCGAAAACCGATGCAACCGGTTCTTGACTCCAGAACGAGAACCGCTCTAACCGGCACGCTGCACGCACGTTCAATATCATCAGCTGCTTTACTCGTGTCGTGTTCATGTTCTATTTATTACAAACTCAATTTGTGAATGTGTCATTGTTAACTATAATTAATTACAGTACAGGTATTTCATAAATCATCCCTTATTCCTATTAAACAGTCTTAATTATTATCCAACTTCCCTGACAAACCCCTTTGGCCTATAACCTAACATGATCTTCAACTGAACAAAGTACACAGATTAGATACATTCATCTTTTTAAAAAAAGTAAAATAAAATATATTTAGATCACACTATCTGATTTTTAACAAAATACTTGAATAGCATGCTTTCCGTCCTCTTGAAAAATTACACGCATGCGCAGTATCATCAGCTCATCGGTTCTCAAATCGGACG